GAATAATTGTGATGTTAATTTTTTGTATTGATAGTGTCAGATAGTTGGACGCTATATAATATATAGCGTCTGACCAATAGTTGCTATAAGTATGTACTTGGTGTCGAATAGTCGGTCGGTATATCTTTAACGTACCGTCGTACGGTCGGTCGCTATAATTAAGGTCGGACGCTATAACTTATAGCGACGCCACTTATATCCACGCGTCAAGTCGGACGCTATATCTATATAGCGACCTACCGTAGGTCGCTGTATTGACTTATAGCGACCTACCGTAGGACGCTGTAGATAGGTTGTGGTATAGTGCGATGTTGAGGGAGAATAGAAATAGGCAATAGATGGATGGGCCTATCGACCAGTGTGCTCCCATTCATGTGTCGACACATGGCTGCATAAACCTAACCATCAGCCACCCAAGACAGCACAAGTGGTGGCAACAAACACGTGGGGCAACATGTGGAGGGTCACCTGACCACATGCGTGGAGGCTAGGTTCATTCGATTTTCATTGTCGTCTCCTCTCTCGAACGGATGGTGAAAATCATTTGTACTGCCGGTATGGAACAATAATTATCGGTGAAAATCAGGATTGTTTTTGCTGTCGTAGTGTATTTTGATTCCAGAACGGTGCTAAATACCTGCTCTATTTTCAAAGCTTCTTAAAGTGGTCAGTGTCCTATTGATTCAAGCTGCAAACCAGCTAGCTTCCACAGCACAAAATGGCAACTCGGCAAGCAGCATCAGCGGGGCCGAAGCTAACGGTTAATTGATGGGGCCGCAGAAGGCACCATCAAAAATAGCGACCATGGTGTAACTGAGAGACTACGACGTGCTGGACAGGGACATTGTTGAGTACTTGGGCCACACATTCGGTATCTCACACAAACCACGCTGCCATATCCGTAGGTACCACGTGAAAATAGTTAAACAGTGACAGACGTTATTAGAAAGTAAAAATCACAGGCGTTTGTTGATCATACTAGAACAAATCAAGCCTTCCCTGATGTATTTCTTATGAAAAATAGAGCCTTCCCTGATGTTGTCAATTTGGCACCAATAACTGAGAATTTTCCACTTCAAAAAAGCCAGAATTTTAATGCCAGCTATGTATGAGCTAGTTTTCCTTTGATATCCACATGAGTGTCGCACGTGCATGTCCACTAGTCATACTCCATCAAATCAAGCCTTCCCTGATGCATTTCTTATGAAAATAGAGAAATATGTCATAGATTAATGATGTTTTCTTTAGATAGTGTCATAAGATTACCCAGCGGTTCTAATAGTGACAAATAAAAAAAAAGAAACATCACCAAGAGACCATCACTAACACGAGATGTGTGAATAAGTAACACAAAGAGACTAATTTTTCTTTACATTCTTCTAGATTTCACTCCATGTTTTTTATGCATTCATGATTCATTCACGTGTCACAACCCAAAAATCTAATTTTAATTTATATAAATAATACTAGTAGAATAATGGTTTTAATTTCACATTTTTCAAAAAAGTTATCTAGCATCTAGTTGAACAACAAAAAATAATATAGTTACAACAAAATAATATTTCTAAAGTAAAACTAATATTGACATAAGCGTTAAAAAAGGTGTTGTGTACGGCTTTAAGATTTTGTTTTTGTGCAAAAAACATGTTTCAAAACGTTTTTGTGCTCTGCTTCCTCCGCCGCTAGCAAGTGGGATCGCTGGTAGGTGCGAGCCTGGCGCGCCTGGACTCGTGGCTTGTTGAAGGCTCTCGGCCATCCAATGGTCCGCATGAGGGGCCACCGTCGCGACGTTGACCCACATTAAGGACGTGATTAGTTTTTTTTTTCGAATAAAAGGACGTCATTAGTTGCGTGTATACAGTGCGTCCATACGAACCTCATGCAATTGTTAGGTTTCCTCGTTTTACAGGGCGAACCGATCACAGCGTCAACCAATTACATTAATTTCTGTTTGTTTAATATTCAACGTATTCTGCTGCCGGGGCAACAGATGCCGCGGCCGCCAAAATCCGTTCCCTCTCGATTTGTGTGGTAAAGGATTGCAGTAATCATTTGATTGACTGCCTGCTCAGCCAAATAAACCAAGCAAGCAACTGGTCCATTTCCATTATCGTCGTTTATGCATTCCCTTTAATTTGCGTTGCCGTCGCTGTATGTGAACCAAATGGACACCCTATATATTGGTTGCCTGGAAAAGCATTTGAACCTAGTCTCCGCGATGCAAAAAGCGTCCACCAAGATTTCTCTGTAGATATTGAATCAATGTTCATTTCTAATGGGCCTGGCTGGCTCCGTGCACGGCAACGCAGGCAGCGCTTGTCACCCCTAAAAAACGATTCTCAGACACGACAATATTTTTGGACAAAGGCGGCTCAATCAGGGGGCGTCTCTATAGTGCTATGTGAACCAAGCCACATTTGGAGATGCATCTTCACGGATGGCTCCAAAGCCAACCGCCTCTAGAATTGGTTCTTTAGAGGCGGCTAGCTTTACCGGCCGTCTATGAAAATAATTGTATTTTTTTTAGAAGGTTGCTTCTTTGCTCTATTAACTTCAATATAGACCCTGGCAAACCCGAGAGGGGATTTGGTATAAGTCTACTTCACCATGTAAAGTGGCTTACCTATAGTACTAGCAATCCTTCCTATAATATTGGATGACCAAAGGTGGAGCCCGAGCTGAGCGAACCGTACCCTCATAGGGACGCTCTGCAAGACGGTTGGTAAAGCCGCCTCTAAAGAACCATTTGGAGCCACCTCTAGTAGAATTAAATGTATACTCAGCCCCTCGCTCACTCTCTCCTCTCCCAAACCGCATCGCCTCCTCCTCTCCCAAACACAATCGCCTCTCCTCTCCCAAACCCTATCGCCTCTGAACTTGGCAGCGTGCACATGTGGCAATGTCGAGTGGCAGGTGCATGTGGCTTCAACGCCAAGACCCAACCATGCAATGAGGACGGCCAGTTCGCCCCTCAGGCGGCAGAGGGGGTTGGATCCTAGTGCATGGCGATGTCCTTTACCTGTTTGACTCCGATGAAGACATGAGCCCTCCGCCATGTGCCTCGCATTGCAGAGTAGTGGAACCACCACGGGGCGGGCAAAGGTGAGGGGCATGGACCGACATGGGATGTGGCAAAGGTGAGGCGACATCGACTGCCGCTGGTCGGGGGAAAGGCGACAACATGAAGGATCCGGTGCCGACCGCCAACAAGAAGGGTCCTTTGACCTCCGTGAAGAAAGTCAAAGGGCATGCGGCGTATACACCTGCAACGAAAGGCGGTCAACGGTGCACTGCGGCTGCGTGCTCAAGCAAGAAGGTTAGCCTATTTCCTGGCCTCCACGCGCAAGGTGCATTGCCGTCTATAGGTCCTAGGGTTCCTAGAGCTTGAAGTCGACCCGAATGTGTTCCGAAACACCCCTGATGAAGAGGTCGGCCTTCTGGACCGGTAGAAGATACGGCGTGTGGCACACCAGCACGTTGAAGCGCTCCTATTACTCTTGGACCGTGGCGTGGAAGGGTAGCCATGCCAGTTTGGCGAGGCGATTGCTGCGGATGGCCAAGCCAAACCACAAATGGCAAAGGTCTTTGAATCGCTCCAATGATGGCATGCCCTCATCTTGCTCCAGGGCATAGTACCATGTCCGGGCCACACCCACGAGGTGGTACGATACGAGCGAGACCCAATCCGAGGCGAGCGTACGCTACCCATGGAAGAACTGCTCGCAATGGTTGGGCCAATTCAGGGGGTCCTTCTTGACGTCGTAGGTGGAGAAGTTGAGCTTGCTGAAGTGGGGGAAGCCCAAACTAGCGGGCTTGCCGGTAGCACCGACAAGGGAGGGTATCAGCGCAGATGAGAAGGGTGGCCACTGTGGAAACATTGGCAGTGGGGATGGCAAGGAGGGAAAGTTGATCTAGTGGATGGGAAGGGGGCGGATGGGGCAGCTGTGGCTGTTGCGGTTAGCAGGAGGGTGGTGGGCGGCGTGGTGGGTTGGGTGGTGGTAGGCGGCACAGCGGTGGTGGTGGAGAAGGCTAGGAACACCATTGTCCCATACCCTGGCATCCCGTGGGGTAAACCCTAGGGCATGGCGCCCACACAAGAGGATGCCTGTTGGTTCTCCAAGGACGACATGCGGGTGGAGAGATTGGCTAGCTGCTTGGCGATGTCTGCTAGGGCTTTCGCGGTGGTGTCGGTGGCCGGCGGTGGAACCGGTGGCTGCACATCTTTGTCATCTTCACTCGACATCTCTGATACCAGATTGATAAGATGGGTGATCCTACCGCGGCTACGTAGGTTGTTGGGGTAGGTGATTGGTGGCCGGGCCTAAACCCCCGGCGGCGTGTGGTGCCATGGAGGACAAGCAAGAAGCGCATGAGAGAGAGGGGGTAGGCGTGGAAGATGGCCCCTGAGGCCAGGCAAAGCTAATTGCCTCGCTTAATTAACTCAATCACAGTTTAGAGGTATATATCCTCTCCTAACAAATCAATCTAGCTCTTGCTTTTATGGAAATAAGGGGAAACAAATAAATGAGATAAAATCCTAGGCATTGCGCCCCCTACTGCCGTCGTGGCCCCGGCGCTGGTAAGTCACGCCGGTCATAACAGTTTGTTTAGATAATGAAAAGATTTTGGCTTCGAACGTCTTCAAGAAACAGGCATTAGTTCATATAATATATTACAATCGTGACTCTGCTATGCAAGAAAAATTGTGTTCAACACGAAAGACCAATATATATGAAACCTAAAACACCGCGCTCATATCCATCGGAAGCAAAAAAGAAACTGCATAGCTCTTATTTCTATGAGCTGGCATGCCGAATCAACCAATCCTTGTGTAGTATTTCAGCATTTGTATGCGAACACATATCGATATACTGAAGTAATCAATATATATCGAACCAATCCTTGTGTGAGGTTTCAGCATTTGTGTGCGAAACATATCTATGTACTAAAGTAATTCATAGGTCATGCTTCAATTTGAACAGAGGGGCAATACGACATTCTCATATCTTCTCTGGAATCCAGCAGCCGTGGAAGCCGAATGGTAGGCCATATGGGAACCTTACTCGAGCAATTTCTTTGAAAGTCGTCGCATCCAGCAGCAGCGCATACCCGTCACCATCCATGGTGCTTACAATAGATATCACAACCCCTACATACATTCCTATGGTTCAACGAAGCACAAATCATCATCTTAAACACACTTTTTCAGCAATTAAACTTACCGTCATCTTCAGCCGTTCCACCTGGCCTCACCACAAAGAAGGGCTCTGATGGCACAGAGCCCACCTCGTGCCAGTTCTTGGCACCTTTCTCCAGTAGGTCGATCTTGGTGAGCGAGTTGAAGAAATTGCATGGCCGTTGGGCGCCACATGCGTAAACATAACGATGATGCTCCTTGCCCTGGTAGGCCGGATTGATGGAAGACAACTCCACTCCCCGACCGTGCACCTCAGGTCCAGCACAGTTTCCAGCTGGCCTGAGGTGGTTCCATCCAGTGGTATCCTGAACCGGGCCACCCTGCACACAAGACGCATACGGTGGATTAGTACAGTACTTGTCAAAATAATTCCTGTAGATAGCGGTATATCAAGTACCTAGCATCAGGGAATGCATCCTTGTTAATCCCAGACGATCTTAGTCTATGTAGTGCAAGTGCCTTGATGACAGATGGATCAGCATAGTACTCGCAGCAGTCAGCGATGATCGCATCTCTCTGTTGGTATGCGTTAATGAAGTGTAATGCCATGAAAGGAGGAACCTCCACGCTCGCCACCTACAAGAAGGTACATGTAAATAACATCAAGAAAACATCCACGGAAAGATCAACGTAAATACACAGTACGTAATTAATAATGATGTTAGTTAAGAGTTCTTACGGTCCTTCCGGAGGACTTGCATATGACGTGCATGTAGCTCCCAGACTCCGGTAGCCAGTCGAAGATATACCAAGGTGTCAGCTGAGACTTGAGAACGACAATGTACTTCTCAGTGACGGCGAACGAATGCACCCATCCCGGTGTGTGCCCTCCCCGGCAGTGCACTATCTCCCAATCGATCACTTTCCTTTCGTTCCTCCCGGCTGCCATCCTGACGACACGATGGCCACGCCGGAAGTTGTCCGGGAGCAGCGTCAACAACTCGGTCCCTGTCACAGCCAGGTGCGTGGTCTGTAACCAACTCCATAGCCTGTCCGTGTAATGGAACTTGCCGATGGTGTCGAGAGTCTCCGGGTCTATCAGAACGGAGCTCTTGGTGGTCTCCGTGAGGCACATCACCCGGCCGTCACCGAGCGGCAGCACGGAGATGTTGGCGTTGTCGGACAGCAAAGTGCCACTTCCGAGGCCGACGACGTTGCGCACGCGGTCGAGGAGGCTCCCGGGCTCGGAGGGACACAGTTGAGAGAACTCCCGGTGGAGAGGCCGGCCGTGCGCCATTGCAGCTTTGTACGCGTCCGACTCAGACTTGACGATGTGAGCCGGTGGCGCGTCCTCGCCGGAAAGAGATGCGTACCAGTGTGGCGTACCCGTCGAATATGTGGTGGGAGGAGTGGCCGCCGACGTCCCACAGACCTGGCCCGTTCCTTAGTACGTGCCGTTCTGTAGAATCACAGTGTCATAATTCAGCTGATCATGACTGTAAAAATAGTTATCTTATACTATTATATTACTGACTAATTAACAAAGTATATGGCCTGCACTTATTTACACGGCCGCTATGCCGTTTTGCAGTTATGCAATTTATTGTGCATTGCCTCATCCATTTATACTTCCGGTCTCAAATCATGTCATGAACATTATCATAATTGGCCTTGAGAATTGGCAATGAAGATTTTTCTGTTTGGCAAAAGCAAGTATAACATTGCATATAAATTCATATAGTCACAAAAAATAGATGCAACAAGAGTTTATATATTTTTAGATTAGGTGTCAACTTAAATACATACCATGCAAGAAAAAGATAAATACTATAAATTCTAATTAGATGCCTAATAGAGCTTCCACGTTAATTCTCACAAGACTCGATAGAAAAACTATAGATAGATCCTAGAAAATCTTTTTAAAAATCAGAAACATCTGACCATCAATTTGACATAACCTAATCACCATTGCTAATAATAGCTATTGGATATACTCTATTTTCTAAATAATTACTCATCTCTGCTATTATGTAAAGTAACCAATAACTCTATGTTCAAATTACCCACCTATGACATTAAAAATTATGATCTAAAGTAGACCTAATTTTACATCTAATTACCCATGTCCTCATATTACGATAAATAGCTTGTGTAACCTCATTTTCATCATATTATTAGAACGCAACATCTCAGCCCGTTAGTAGCCTATAGTAGTTGTGAAGTTGGCCAATGTTGCACGTGGGAGTCTATTGGTAGCTATATTTTCCCGACCATTTAAGATTACTTTAGAGTAAACTATCGGATCATTATAAGGCTTGAGTATTAAAGTTGTATTGAGGTTAGCACCTACCCTCATCTAAGATCACACTTCAAGCTCTATCACTTATGTTAAGCGACATGGTGCAGGATTCAAATATTTTCGTGTGGTATTGTATAGTATTTAAGAACATACTCTACAAGCTAAAATCCTTATTTTAAAAAGTGTAAAAAATGAGTTAATTAAATATACAATAAGCACAAAAGCTTTAATGTCGTAGTCAATAAGAATAAAATTTATAAAAAAAATTAAAATTTAGATTCATGGCTTCATATGATATATGGTGGAATAAGAGCCATCATAGTTAATGGCATATTTAAAATATACAAAGGTGGCATGCAAAAGAAATATATATAAATATAAAGAAAATGTATAGATCCGCCACATGCAAAAAAGACTATTAATAAGTTTATGATAAGTAAATATAGACTGCGAGTATTTATTATGTCTATTATGTTAAAAAAATAAATAAAGAGAAAAACCATATAACTTAATATGAGTAATTCTTTATTAGCTATATGTATTAAACAATAACTAATACTCAATTATATCTCTTAAAGTTGTAGCCTATGTGAGAGCACGGGTCGATGGACGGACTAAAACCAAAGTGAACTGACATTTGAAATGGAGGTGGCATGTACCAGCCAAATTGGGAGGTGTCCTTCCACGGCCAGGTTGCCTTCCCATCTTTCTTGCCGGACGTTTGTCCAAGCAGAAAGTACTGAGCTGCAATCTCCGATGGCCTTAACGCAACAACCGTTGCTCCGACTTGCCGTTGCCATGCTCAGTGGCGGATTCAAGTCGTAGAGTCCTATGTGCCATTTGTCGTCCGGCATGGAATCACTTAAGATCCAGTTGGAATGCGTTCGCTGAAGTACTTTTGTTCAGCTTCCCCTAAAATTTTTCCTGGATCCACCGTTGGCCATGCTGATACTGCTGGGAACGGTGGTGTGTACAGGGTGTGAGGTGGATAAGGAGAATGGTCTGGGTGCAGCGCATAGCGCGGTGGTGTTGTATGAGCCCATTCTTTTCGGTTGTTATTATCTTGGACGATACCCTCCTGGCTCCTGCTGCAGGTGGACGCTCGTTACTGGAATAGACGATACCCAACGTTTGAATTTATGGGATATGCGGTTTTTTTGTCTGGTCAACCTTCAGCCGGCAATGTTTGTAAAGAATATACAGTGTGTTTGGTTGTGGAGTGGCCACGTCCGGCATCTGTCATCCGGCATGGAATCACTCCAGCTAGGCTCGGAAGGCGCTTGGCGGACGACGAATTTCGAGGAGTGAGGTGGTGGTGCTTTTACGCCTTGCGGCAGGTGCGACATGATGACGGACGACTCCCGTCCGCTTGGCAAACCAAACGCAACATTCAGGCTCGGATACAGGTCCGTATGATTCCGCACCGTATCATGACGCTAACCAAAGACGCTGATAGTGTTTGAACCGCCGTAGAGTCAGTCCATCGTTGCACTTGCATTGCGTCCCTCTCCAATAAGCCTTCATATGTGTAAAACTACCCCCTCGAGCTTCAAGCGCAGATGGCCTAATCGACTTGGACGACAAAGAGACAGAGTTGTCTATCTCAGGCCGGACTCGTTGAAAAGCATAAACGGGACTGTGTGGTACACCAGTTGTGTCCACATGGGCTTGGAGCTTGCTGGTTTCAGTGCTGTTGTTATACTGATTTCGTCACTGTGCTGTGGAGACTTTAAGGAGGTCGCAATTCTGCACGTTGCAGTCTTCTTCTTTTTTTTTTTTTGGAGGGGTCCTGCACGTTGCCGTTGCGTGCTCCTCTACCAGGCTACCACATATTCTGCCCTTGTTTGAGGGCAGCTCCGCCAGCGTTTTGTCCTCCTTGGCGTCAGATGTGTGGTCCCCCGTAGTCCACGAGGATCTGTCACTGCACCGCTGTTACTCAGGGCGTATGTGGTGGCTTGAGCCAGGTAGCCATCTGGACCCCACGCAGACAAAATCGATGGCCTGGATTTGCCGCCTCGACCAAGCAGCATTGCCAGAGTCTCAAGCAAACAGGCCCTCAGTCCCCCCTCCCATCTTCCTTATGTCCTGCCACTGTACTACAGAACATGCCTTTAGAACCCGCCTTCTCAACTGGTACACGCATTGGTAGTGACCGTGATGGTACCATCACAACCAATCTCCTCGGACCACGGAGTATTATTACAACAAATGTATATCGTTGACAGTAAAAAAAAAATGTCACTTGGCTCGGCACATTCAGATTGGTTGCCTGAGTGCATAACCTTATTCGGGTTGGCTAGGCTGTGTTTGGATTCATTATCGGGTAATAGTTAGCTGGCCAATACATTATTATCTGATTTGGTCTAGCCGGTGGAATAGTTGTTATTTAAGGATTCAGCTAACAATTAGTTACTCTATTATCTATACCTGTTTGATCCTAAAAGATAATTATTAACTGATAACTACTATCTGTAGAGATCCAAACAGGGTCTTAGTCGAGTGCATTTGTTTATTATTCCGTTTGGTTGGCCAAGTTCATTGGCTCACCCTAACTAGCAGGTGGACAAGTGTGTAGGTCTAATCTCGGGCTAGGCGGCCAAGTGCACAGGCCAACTCAGCTTTGATGGCGGAATGCATTCGGGTTAGTTAGTGCTACATCAGACTAGTGCAATGATTGATGATACATCGGTCCACGATACACTTAGCAGCCGCATCAGTGATGTGAGGCGGTCGACAACAAGTTGATTAGCGTTTAGATCAAGCGTGAAGGGACCGTGACGTCTAAGATATAGATAAATTAGATAACTTAAAACTTTTACTATAACTATGGTTTCTAGTCAACCTTAGCAAAACCTATACAAGAAAGTGAGCTATCTTGATATGCACTACGGTTTGCTGAGTGTAAAACTACCTCTACTGCAAAAGAGTATACAACTTAGGTACAGAATGTAAATGTGGAAGCTAAATTGAGGCAGAGATGCAAACTCCTGTCAATTACTCCGGTGTTTTTACCGAGGTACCAATAATCTCATGCTTTCCACTAATCCTTGTCGGAGCCTCTCGCAAGGGCCAAGCTCATGATCAGGTGACTCCTGAGGTAGCCCCCGATCCTTCTCCACACACATGTGGATCTCTGAGATGGCCTTTCCTAGATCGTTTCCCACCGTCTTCACTATCAAGCTTCCGGCCAAATCACCGCGCGGCCTGGTTCCCTTTGGTACATCGTGGCGGCCGCAACACAAATGCGGTCGGTGTGGCCCGCAAGATTACAAGCCCTTTAATATACAACAATGGTGCGCGCAAGCACTATGTGAGCAAGAGGTGTGTAAACTTTCCTAAACACTATGGCTAAGCCTATGCAAGCGCCAATATGGTTTATAAGTAGACTAAATACTTTGCAAAGTACTATTGCTAATCACCTAATGAAATCTTTAAGCATTTTATGGTTAGAACAACTAGAGATGAGCTCACCTAAACCTTCTTTTCGCTCCAACTCCTTCCAGATGGCTAGATGGGGTTATATATAGCCCAAACACTTGAAACTAGTCATTGGAATAGTACACAACTTTTTGTGTACTCACCGAATACTCAATGGGGTCATCGTAGATTTTCCGATGCCTCTGCAAATACTCGGCATTAGAATTTGACCATTGCCGACTGTTGGGCAGTCGTTTCTCCAAGCTAACTTCTCTGGTGCCATCGGACTTTTTCAGTGAGCACTTCCTCTGTTCGTGTTCCTGGCATCGAGCTCAACGGAGATGATGCTTGTTTTGTGGCCTGCACCAGAGTTTTTCAGTGCATCATTTCCCTCTCTGGTGGCGACTCTTTCATCCGGTACTGGTCTTCTGTCCACACCGGAGTTTTCCAGTCGGTGAAAATTCTCTTTGGTCCACTGTTTGCATGTAGTCCAATGCTGGCTTCTAGAATGCACCGGAGTTTTCCAGTGGGGCATAAAACCCTGGTTTCTGCTCTGCTGGCCACATTCTCCAGTGGTCTCTGCCTGAAGGCACCAGATAATTCCGGTGCTGCATAGCAGCTTCATTTTACTCAGTTTCTTCGCATCTTTTCATCTGGGTCAATTTCATCTTGTGCCTTGGACTTCTTGCAATTTTTTAGTCTCTTTAACATGGCTTCTAATGTCTTTCTCTTGAGGTGTTGATGACTCTGATCTCTATATTGACCAAGTCCACCTTACATCCATTTGAACTTTCTTTGTATACTAGAAAAATACTAGTCCAAATGGTCATGTTGTTCAGCAAACATCAAAATCAATTTAATGACCCATGTCGGGTGCCATTTTCCTTACAATATCTTCCTTTTGTGATTGATGAAAACACGACCAAATCAAGCAAATAATAGATACAAATTGTAGAAATGACCAAAACAATCTATCTACATGCTTGGATGCAATGCAATACCACAATATCAATTGAATGTAACATGACCCATGGTATCAAATTGAAAATCTTACCTTTGCTCTTACCAATTGAATACATGTCCCCTTATATGGTATTATGGATTTAAGCCTCCCCTAACTTCGTAATCCACTTCCTCCCTTTCTATGACAAATTCTCCCCTATTCAAGAAATTTGAATTTGGTTTTTGTATTTATAATGGGTTGAGCTTACTTTTCCTCCCAAAAATTCTCCCCTTTAGAATAAACATAAAAAAGACACTAGTAGTACAAGTGAGGGTCAAATTTTGTGATCCTTGATATTTGGAGTGGAATTTGACTTTCGCATTACATAGACTAAGCTCCCCCTAAGTGTATGCATACATATAGTCAGTGGCAAAGCATATGCATGACCGACAATATTTAATGCATTAAGGGAGTTTAGTCTATATAATGCATAGGAAAAACATATAAAGGATACCAATTAAAAGACAACAAATTGATACCAATTGTAGAATTTCAATTGAAGTTTATACCACTTTGTAGGATATGAAATGTGATCTCTGCTTTTCTTCGGGGACTCTAATTTTCCTTACAATAAGACTACACACATATATACTATGATATTCACGTAATATACATGTGATGTTTAATGATCATTTTTGTTTATTCACACAATATAAATGAGATGTTTCATGGTGTATTTTTAATATGCATGTGATATTTAATGATCATTTTTATTATTCACAAAATATAAATGAGATGTTTCATGGTTTATTTTGCAATGCTCACATAGTTTAAACGGGATGTTCTAAGATATATTTTGATTATTTACATAGTACCCTTGAGATGTTCTGCGGTTTATTTTAGGTTGTTTTTTAGAATTACATAGTACAACGCAGACGCTCACAACACGCACGCACACTCACCCCTATGAACAGACTTACGCAAACCCTACCCTATGAGCACCTCCGAAGGACTGAGCCGACAGATCTTGAGATTCACGAAGTCACTACGGACGCCTCGCTGTCGATGGAGACGTCGCATATCACTGAAAGCATAGCGCCGTTAAATCTTAGAATAAATCCAGGAAAATGCGAGCACCCGTGCCTAGTCGAGGACTTAAACCTGGGTGGACGGGTTCCACCACAAAGAATCTAACCAACTGATCTATGATGAGTGGGAACATATATTTTAGGTTGTTTGAGTAGTATCCTTTGGTATTCTTTTCTACTTTCCATTATATTACGTAACGTTTTTATTTTGTCAACTTTTTCCCTTATGTTTTTCTTCCATCTTTGATTAATATATTATTTTATATTTAAGTGATTTATTTATTTTATTTACTATATATTTCATAGCATTTGTTATTCATTTTTATTACCCTTTTTCTTCTTCATAATTTTACTCTAATTATCTATTTTAGTATTTTAATTTTTTGTTTTTATCATTTTATTTCTAGCACTCCATAAGATATATGTGATGTTTGTATAGTATATACGCATTGTTCGCCTAAACGGCCGTTTAGCCCGTTTACACACCGTTTAAACACTACACGGTGGTACACCGTTTCCGTTTAATAGGTTGTTTTGACCGTTTAAATGGTCGTTTTTCCGTTTAGACACCCGTTTTGCCTGAATAATGGGCTAAACGGTAGGTGTCCGACTGTTTACCGTTTAGCGTTTAGGATAACACTATATATACGTGACGTTATATGATTTATTTTGGATGTTTATGATTATCAATGGTATATTCCACGATTGAGTATTCATATTACACCATTAAGGTGTTCTATGGCACCAATCATCATGTTCGACTACTTGGACAGTAGCGTTGTGCCGCCAGCATGTTTGTACGCATCGCAAGCATTTACGGTTCTTCATTGGGCCATTAATTTCTTTGCTGCCCAGAAAATAGCTTGTAAATGAATAATATTCATGCTAGATCATAGTTGTATGTATGCATTAAGGGCCTGTTTGGAACGTAGATTAGAAAAGAGAGGAAAAGAAGAAAACATAGGAAAGGCATAGGAATGGGGTGAAAAAAAAATAGAGGAATGAGAAAACATAGGTGAGTGCAGAAGGTGAGGCTAGAATCTTTCTATTCTATTCATATCTGTCATCCATTATCTGCTCATCTTCTTCGTAATCAAAGTGATGGGCTGTACAGCACGATGGCAGCAGGTTGTCAAAATTAGGATGGCGGCATTAAGCTCAAGTGTGTGATTAGATCAAGTAGGTTACTAGTTACAAGGTATCAAAGTTTGTTGCAGGCTTGCAGCTACCTCGGACTTCGCGTACGAAGAGAAAACAATGGAAAGAAGCAGATTTTTGATTTATGTGAAATCGCACCATATCTATAGGATTCTAGAGAAACGGAATTACACGTTGCTTCATTCCAAACGGGCAAATTGTAGCCATTTCTTTGGATTGAGATTTCCTGTATTTTTCCCCCACTGATCCAATCATAGCCTAAGGGGCTCTTTGGATGATGCCCTAGCTTGGGAGTTCTCGCCCAGGCAAGATTCCCTAGCCTCCCTAGCTTGGTAGGAAGCTAGATCCACTTGGAATCATTGCTTAGGCCAGATAGGTTTCTAGTCCTCCAAGCAGACACACACTAAATAGTACGTAGAAAGTCAAATAGACGATCTCCGTTGTATATGGTGTCTGTTCAGTTGTTTATAGACCTAGTAGAATAGTAATATATGAACATCCACATCCACATCCACGTCCACATAAACTGAATCAAGAAAAAGCTCACATACAATATATCTACGTCGAGTTTTGTCCCACATTCAGCAAAAGTATTCCGTCCAATCCAACCCGATCAGAAATCAGGTCCATCGACGTCTCATCAAAAACAAAAACAGGTCCATCGAGTTATCCAATTAACCAACAGCAGCAGTGCCAACATTACAATAGCCATTGGCCACCAGCCCCAGCGTGCTTCGAGCTCGAGCGTGAGAGGCTGAGTGACGGCCAGGCGTGCGCACCACTGGTTGTGTTGCTGCCCGTCGAGCTGCTCACGCTCAGCCTTCTTTCGCACGATCACCGCGGCAGCCGTCAAGAGTCTGCAAGAGGTACCTCGTGCCAAGCGCGTGGGGCAAAGGCACCTCCCAAAAATTATAAAAACAATAGAATTAGTTAAAAAAGGCAAGTTGTACGTCCCCACCTGCAGACCCTCGTTGACCCACCACAGAGCCCCGAGCCCAGGTCTTTTTCTTCGTGTTGTGGTTCTGGTGCACCAAAACCAAGGACAAAAGGAAAAAAAATGGGCAAGCTGCCGACCGAATCTGGCCCTTTGCGCTGCCATCAACGGGCGACGTCCCTTTCTTTTCTTTCCACACGGAAGGTGGTGGCAGTTGTCCGCACGTCACGCTCGATGCCTTTCTTCATAGGCCACGTTTAGTTAAAAAAAAGTTTCTCAAGAAGTGCTATTACATCAAATCTTACAATACGTGCATAGAACATTAAATGTAAATGAAAAAAAAACTAATTGCACAGTTTGATTGGAAATAACGAGACAAACATTTTAAGCCTAATTAGTCCATAATTAAACACTAGTTGCCAAATAAAAACGAAAATACTACGGTAACTAAATTCCTAAATTTCACCTAACTAAACACAGCCTTAAACAACTGGTACGACTTTCTGGGAGTATACTATTGCGAATGACGTAAGCGCTTACGCACGGTGCGTCGCTACGGGCGGCCAACACCAAACAGCGAACTACTCCACCCAGCGTGCAGCGAAAGGCGACCGCTACACACGTGGCGAGATTTGAGTAGCGTATAAGGAAGTGTGCGCGGGACGAGTCAGGCATCTCATCCTCATTCGCAAAAGTGTCGTGAACTTACGCCTTGTTTAGTTTTACCTCAATTTTTAAAAAGTTGCTACAGTACTTGTCACATCGAATGTTTGCGGCCGTGTATGAAGCATTAAATGTAGACGAAAAGAAAAACTAATTGCACGGTTTGGTGGGAAATTACGAGACGAACGTTTTGAGCCTAATTAGTCCATGTTTGAACACCATTTGCCAAATAAAAACGAAGGTGCTACAGTAACCCTAAAATCCAAATTTCGCGAACTAAACACGGGCTTAAAAAAAGCAAGTTGTATGTCCGATTAGACTTTTTTTTGTCTCACGCAAAAAGCTTGCCAAAGAGAGCAAGGCATGCATGGAGTACAAGCTGCAGAAGGGAGTCAGGGGGGAGATCAGGTTCCTGAAAGCTGAAATGGACAGCATGCAGGCTGCTCTCGACAGGGTGTCCAAGCTGCCGCCTCAACAGATCGATGATCTTCACAACAATTGGGTGAGGGACTTGAAGGAGCTGTCCTATGACATTGAGGACAGTGTTGACTCTTTCATGCTCCGAGTCGATGCCCCTGGTTGTGCCAAGCCAAAGAGCTTCAGAACGTTCTTTGACAGGACCATCGTCCTATTGACAAAAGCCAAGCCTCGGCATCATATCGCCGATGACATCCAAGACATCAGGAGCCGCATCCAAGAGGTTGCTGGTAGGCGAGAAAGGTACAGATTTCCAGAAGTTGCAGTGCAGCCAGAGAATACAGAAATGGATCCTCGGTTGCCTGCTCTCTACGAAGATGTAAAGAACCTGGTTGGTATTGAAGGCCCTGCAGAGAAGCTCACTGCTTTGCTAATGCAAGGGGAGGGTGCACAAAAACAGCAGCTAATGGTTGTCTCTATTGTCGGAGTTGGAGGCCTTGGGAAAACAACTCTTGCAAATTCGGTGTATCAAAGAATCAGAGGAGAATTTCAGTCTCAAGCTTTTGTTTCAGTCTCCCTTAAGCCAGATATAAATAAGATCTTCAGCAGCATACTACGGCAGGTTAGTGGAGGAGAGTACCCCAATGCTGAAGCATGGAGTCATACTGAGCTTATAGATACAATCAGACAAATACTTGAGAAAAAGAGGTATGTAGTAATGATTATCAAATTTTCCTTTTGAAACTAGTCACAAATCTGTGTACTCTCCGTTCCAAATTATAAATCGCTTTGATTTTTTTTATACATCTATTTTTCTATGTATCTAGATATAATGTATGTGTATATACATAGCAAATTCTATGTATCAAAAAAGTCAAAGTGATTTATAATTTGGAACGGAGGGAGTACTTGAACAGAGTTCCTAAATCATAATCGCCATCCATTCATTTATTGGCACGCCTGTATAGTTTCTATATTCCCATGGTGTCTAGTCATAAATTCGTGAACTTTAGCAGAGCTTGAAATAAAGGAAAACACTGTAATTAACAAATTCCAATGACACACAATTAATTGTTCTTTTCCTTTAAAAAAATGCAGGTACATTATTGTAATTGATGATGTATGGGGAGAGTCTGCATGGACACAGATAAAATGTGCTCTAACTGAAAACTGTCTTGGTAGCAGAGTCATTGTAACAACCCGGAAAACTGATGTGGCAAAATTTTCTTGCTCGTCCATTGATGGTACACTGTGTGAACTAGATCCCCTCTCTTATGAGGACTCAAAAAAGTTGCTGTGTAAAAGGGTACTCAATGAAAATGAGGAAATGCATTCCGAATTAGAGGATGTATCACGGAAAATTTTGGAGAAATGTGGTGGTATACCGTTAGCTATCATTACTACAGCTAGTTTGTTGGCTAGTAGGCCAAACAAAACAAAGTATGAATGGTATACTGTATACAATTCAATGGGTTCTGGACTTCAAAAGGACAAGAGCTTTGAGAACATGAGAGGGATCTTGTATCTTAGTTATTCTGATCTGCCCTCCTATCTAAAGCCGTGTTTACTGTATCTAAGCATGTTCCCTGAGGATTATCATATTCCAAGTGATGATTTGGTTAGGCTTTGGATAGCAGAAGGTTTCATCGATGAAAAACAAGGGAGTAATTTGTATGATCTTGGAGAGAGGTACTTCATTGAGCTCGTCAACAGAAGCATGATTCAACCACTATATAAAAAGGATGGTAGTCCAAGAGCTTGTCGAGTACATGATATGATACTTGATCTCATTATTTCCCTCTCATCTCAAGAAAATTTTGTCACCATACTAGAAGGTCCGTGCCACATATCTTCAGCATGCAATATTCGACGATTATCTCTGCGAGGCAGCAAGAGCAATAGCAAGGAAGAACAAATGATTTTCCCAGCAACAGTGAACATATCCCATGTCAGGTCAATCGTTGCTTTTGGTGATGCCGTTGAGTGGGTGCCACCTATGTCAAGGTTTCCAGTTCTCCGTGTTTTGGCTTTCAAAAGTTGGTCCAGAAACAATATCCACCCTAAGGATCTAGGAAGTCTGCAGCACTTGAGATACCTTGAACTAGGAGGTTATCTCAAAACAGAGCTTCTAGAAGGAATTGGGAACCTAAAGCTTCTCAGGACATTGAATCTTTGGGGCCGATTCAAAGGAGAATTGCCAGCTAGCATTAGTCAGCTACGACAACTTGAAAATCTGTTAACTGGTACTAATAAGGTGAAATTTCCAGATGGAACTGGGAATCTAATATCCTTACACGAGCTGTCACGTCTATCTCTGGACGAATCACCAAATACTTTGGCTGAACTTGGTAACTTTACTAAACTCCGAGTGCTGACAATACGTGGCTTATATAAAAACCAGAGTTACATGAAGACATTTCTACAGGCCTTATCCAATCTAGTCAACCTTCGCAGACTAGTTTTTATTGGATACGAAACATGCTCCCTAGATTACATGCCAGACCAATGGACGGGCCCTGCACGTCTCCAAAGCTTTCATGGGAATTCTGTAACCTTTTCCCAGGTGCCCTGGTGGTTTTCCTCCCTCTCTGAACTCTCCAGCTTGTCCATGTGGGTCAATCTACTAAGACAGGAGGATCTCAAACTGCTTGGAGCTTTGCCGGTGCTACGTTTTCTTGTTCTAGAAGTAGATGCCGATGGCACCATCACCGAAGAACAGTTGGTGGTTGGTGCTGATCACCCCTTCCGCTCTCTAGCAGAGTTTAAGTTTACGCACTACACAAGATGTTGGCTGGAGTTTGCTCGAGGAGTGATGCCAAAGCTTCAAAGGCTTGAGTTAGTCTTTGAAGCACGGAGGAGGGAAGGTGGTGGTTTTGATATTGGCTTGGAGAACCTTGCTTCACTTACACACGTCACCGTCAAGGTTGACTGTGACGGTGCCCGGATGAAGGAGGTGGAGGATGTCGAGTACAAGGTCAGGGATGCACTCGACATGCATCTGAACCATCCAATGCTCGAGCTTTCAAGAGATTGTGAAGGGCTAATGATAAAGGATGAGGACAAAGATGGTCACGAGCTGTTAGAGGAAAGGTAATAGATAGAATCACTGGGAAATTAATGCTCACCTATAGTTGCTTGTTCCTTTCATCTGACGTATCTGCTTTGCCTTTTGCAGTGATGAAGACTGGGAGAATATATGATAAAGGACGAGAACAAAGATGGTCAGGAGGAGTCCGAGGAAAGGTAATAGAATTATTGAGAAATTAATACTCACCTATAGTTGTTTGCTCCTTTCATCTGACGTAGCTACTTTGTCTTCTGCAGTTAAGATTGGGAGTCATCCTTCCACCGCCATCCCCAGTCCCCTATTTCCTTTGCCTGAGCTGAGGATCCACTTCTGCTTGCATAATTCGTCAGCTGGTTGTTCATTTCGACTTCTCCACCACCGTTGCCCTCTTTTTTACTCCGAGTCATTCCGTCCATCGCTCATGTTCTGCTTCTAGTCTACACATTTCTTCACTTCTCCTATTTTCTTTCCTAAGTGCTCTGTTTTGTGTCCCCTTGTGCCACCCAATTAATTAATTATTCCTTAGCAAAGAAGCACCCACCTTTGTCGCACTTGGCAAATTGTTCTTCACTTTGTTTCCCGTGAAAAATGCACAGAAAATGAATCTGCATTATTATTGCCAAAATATCATCTGTTGTTGTTTTTGGAAAATGAATGCCCAAACTCTTTCGCCATCGTTGACAATTTGAGCCCGCCCTTGTTGTCCTTAAATAAAATATTTAAAAAAATATATCTGTCATTCTGCTCCAACATATTCAGCGGATTGCTAAACCCAACTGGGCCATCATGTTGGATGCATTTTCTACCCACTTGACAAGCCTCGGTAGGTTTGCCTCACATTGAAATTGTTTCAAAAGTTGGTTGCTACCTTTATGAATTATGACCTTTCCAACATCTGTTGTAAGGCTTGTGTATTGGATGCAGTAGGCAATAGATACTAGAATTTTACAGATTCTCTGTTGCTCAAGTTCTAATTTTAATACTTGTAATTCATCCCTTTTTTGAGAAAGGTGTCTATCCCTTTCCCAATTGTGTTTGCGATTTGTCATGACTATTGGGTTATACTATTACTTTAGGCCTTAGTTAAACCATGTATCACATGCCTTAGGTTAATTAGCACTATATTACTGTATTAACTACCTCCTTATGCTGTTGTTGGAACGAAATTTCATATAAATGTGCATGGATCCTATGTCTACAGGAAAGTATGCTCTCAATAGAGAAAATGCAACCCATGTATCCTAGTTGTGTAATCAAGTTAAGCTCACAGTAAAACTACATTTTCAGTACCTAGTGCTTGATGTTTTCTTCTTTTTTTCGAAAGATCCGTTACCGGCTTTCATTGATAAGGGAAGAGCACAATATTTACAAGGTTTGGCACAAGGATCGCCCATTTTGCATGGCTTTCACATCCTAGTAAGTGCCATGCCACCCCTACGTTTTAGAGTTCTATCTTACGTAGGATTTACAGCATCTACAAGAGGCTGCTCCAGTGGAGGCAGCACTGCTTTTAGCCCTCTATTTCCGGCCCATATCCACGTCCTTGCTTCCTCCTGTATTGCTCTGAAGACCTACTCCGGCGTTCTCGAGGATCTGTGAAAAACCCGATTGTTCATCTCCCTCCATAGTTCCCAGGTTGTCAGCATGATCATCGAGCGCACCCCGTCTCTTGCATCTCTTGTCCCACTGTTGCCCATGTCAGCGTACCATTGCCCCAGATCTTCAGTTGGCGTCCAGTGTGTTGGCCTTAGAGCAGCCGCCGAAATCCAAGAGCCCACCTTGTCCCAGATATTCCTCGAGTAGCCGCATTCTTGAAAAAGATGTGAGACCGTTTCCAGGTTCCTTACACAGAGTTGACAGAAGTAGTCATTTGGCCATTGCCTAAGCATTAGCCTTGCAGCTGTCCAAATGCGGTTCTGCAGCATCAACCAAGTGAAGAAGCGGCATTTTGGCGGCGCTTTTGTTTTCCATGTGATTTCAGCTGTCATGGATGAGGCCATTCCAAGGAATTGTATTTTATATGTCGATCTTGCCGTGTATTGGCCATCAGTTGTGTGGAGCCAGGTGATCTTATCCTCATGTGTCGGCTGGACAATGATTCCCTATAAGCAAGTCCACAGTGATATAAATTCCTCAACCACCCACTCTGTCATGCTATAATCGACATCTCTGATCCACTTATCGTCAGCCAGGGCATCACTAACTGTTCTATTCTTCCTCTTGCTATGTTTGAACAAGGCCGAGTATAAGGTTGCAGGTGCTTGACCATCTAGCCAGCGAGAGGACCAGAACTTAGCCTTGTTCCCATTTCCTAAGACCACTCTTGTAGCAGCATTGAAGAGTGCAATGTCATTATTGGCAACCCGTAGCTCCATTCCTTTCCAGGGTCTGTCTGTGTCATCCCATGAAAACCAGAGCCACTGAAGCCACAGTGCACGACTGAACTTTTCAAGTTCGATGATGCCTAGGCCACCGTTGACTATTGGCGTGCATACTTTGGTCCATGCAACCTTGCATTTCCCTCCAGTAAGCTCCTTGTCGCCAGCCCACAAGAATCTTCTACGTAGTTTGTCAAGTTCTTTCAAGAAGTTTTTGGGTGCCTTCACCACCGTCAGCAGGTATACCGGGAGGGAGCTAAGCACAGAGCGCGCCAACTCCCTGCGGCCAGCAATATTTAGCAGGCGCCCTTGCCAGCCAGCCACCCTCCCTTTAGCTCTATCTTGGATGTACTGCAGGTGCACCATTCTTAACCTTCCAAGTGTGAGAGGTAGTCCTAAGTATTGCATAGGAAAGTTTACTCTTGGCCTAGGGAAATCTTGTAGTATCTCTTCCATATCTAGGCCCTCACATCTGATCGGGGCCACATTGCTCTTCTGCATATTTATCTGCAATCCCGTGGCTGCACCAAAAGCATTCATAATCTCCATGATGCAGGTAATGTCTTGTCATCTTGGGTTGCTGAAGATTACAGCGTCATCAGCGTACATTGATATTCGGAGTCTTGCATGTCTACCTTTTAGTTTTGATAGGAAGCCTTGCTGTGTGGCGATGTCGAAGATGTTATTAAGGACATCGATTGCTAGTATGAATAGGTAGGGTGACAATGGATCACCCTGCTTGAGGCCTCTTCGGTGCATGATGCTATCACCTGGACAACCATTGAGTAGTATTGCCGAGGACGATGTTCTGAGGATCACTGCCAGCCAGTCAAGCCATCTTGTCGAAAATCCTCTTCTGGCAAGTAGCTTGATCAGGTATTCCCAAGATACCGGGTCGAACGCTTTGGTTACGTCGAGTTTGATGAGGCAGGCTAGTGTTTTTGTGAGGTGGTAGTGACGCGTGAGCCCCCTGACATACAAGAAGTTTTCCTGGATGCATCTCCTTCTAATGAATGCACTCTGAGAGTTGGAGATTAGCTTATCTATATATATCGCCAATCTGTTCGCTAGCACCTTTGTCAGTAACTTTGCAAAGGAGTGGATCAGACTTATCGGTCCGAAATCCTTTGGCTCCGTTGCAATTTCCGTCTTGGGAATCAGCACCACCTGTGCTCGATTTAGATGTTCTAGAGCCCCGTTGTGATGTATGTAGAAAGCGTGGAAAGCGCTGAGGACATCTGGCTTGATGATTTCCCAACAGTGCTTGTAAAAATCACTGGTAAAACCGTCCGGTCCAGGCGCCTTTTCATTGGGCAGATCTTTTATTGCTTGCTGAATCTCATTTTCTGTGAAGGGCCTGTCAAGTTCAAGGCTAGGCAGCTACCCCAGGGCATTTAGCTGTAGTTGTGGCCATTGGAAGGTCTACAGCCTGCGTACCTTCTTTCCAATTAGATCTTGGAAATAGTCCTGCAGGACCTGTTGTTTGTCATTGTGAGCCCACACCAAGGAGCCGTCCTATTTTTTGAGTGATGATATGTATTATCTTCTCTTCCTGGCTGCCATCTTTAGGTGGAAAAATCTTGTACATGTGTCTCCTGCCTTGATAAAGTTTAATCTAGAAGCCTGTCTTCTCCTACTCCTCTCAAGCGCCGCTAGGCCCAAAATCCTGATTTTGAGGTCCTGTCATAGAGAACTCTCTTCTTCTGATAGCTGTCTGCTTTCTTGGGCAAGATCCAACCTAAAGATGACCTCATTTGCAATGTACAACTGAAGGCGTGCATTACTGAAAAGCAGTTTGTTCCAGCTTTGTAGCGCCCGCGCCATCTCTGCTAGCTTCTTGCTCAGTATAGTTTGCGCTGAGCCCGCTTGTGATTTGCTCCAGGCAATCATGACCACATCTCGGAACCCATCTAGCTTCAGCCAATGGTTTTCAAATTTGAACACTGCTTTCCTGACCACTCGATCCTGACGGGTGAGAAATAATGGACAGTAGTCTGAGGCTCCCGTTACCAGAGCATTTGAGACGAAATTTGGGAAGGCCGCCTCCCACCCAGGGTTGCAAAACACCCTGTCTAAACGCACCAAGGTAGGGTTCTTCCTTTCATTTGACCATGTGTACTTCCTATTCTACAGTGCAATCTCCATGAGTTCGCATTCATCTAATGCTCTTCGAAACTTTCCCATCAGTCTTCTGTTGAGGTTCAGATTATTTTTGTCACTGGCTTGATAGATGAGGTTAAAATCTCCTAGGATGATCCATGGCACCCTAGCAGCTAGCTTGATAGCATGTAGTTCAGCAAGGAAATCCTCTTTCCTACCATCATCAGCTGGGACATAACACGTAGTCATTAGAAACTGGGTATCAGAGGAGGCAACTTTGATCATAGCTGAGATGGTGAAAACTCTGTTCACTGCATTTGTCACTGAGATCATATCCTTGTTCCATGCCAAGAGTATGCCACCTCTAGTCCCCTGGGCCCTCAGCTCAAGGTAGGAGTCCAGATACTGCCCCAAGGTCTCCATGGCAAGGGTGTTGTTGAAACTGCTGAGTTTGGTTTCTTGCAAACACACTATCATCGGTCGTGAGTAGTTAACAGTCTCTCTGGCAAGCTCTCGGTGAGCAGCATCATTTAGGCCTCTTACATTCCACGTCAATATAGTAAGGTCACTGTTATCCATAAACAAACAAGGAGGCTATTGGGATTAATTCTTGAAGGCAAACACAAGTGACAGACAACGACATGCACATACTTCC